TATATATATATATATATATATATATATATATATACCTTGCCTTAAATGTAGTGATAGGATTTGATTGCTTGTTGGGCAATAATTTGTAAGCTCATTATGTGATTTTGATTTTAGGACTATGAAAGGGGCAGGATTTTGTATAGTGAGATTGATCAATGTTTCAAGATTTTATTTATTTTTCTATTTTCAACTATTCTTTTGTATTTGGGAGCTGAAAGATAGATTAATGTATTAAATGTCCTTCTGGCTATTATAAACAAGAGTTTAGTGAATGAATACATAGTGAAAGCTATCAATTTATATGATTTTAATTTTTTTCACTGGGTTAATTTATTTTAAATGAATTAAAATAAAAACTTTAGTAAATTAATTAAAACATAAATTAAATAATTCTTTCAAATTAGATGTTGAGTTGTTATACTTAATGTTTATGGTGAGAGTTAGCCTTGTTAGCAATGGAGGTTGAAAGAATTGGTGTCGATAATGGGTATTGACCTCCATTGCAACAATGAGCACCAATCTTATTATTACAATGGGTGCTAGCCTCATTAGAAACAACAACTATCATATTGATGTAGATGGTGGGCATCAATATGGTGAGAGTTAGCCTTGTTAGCAATGGAGGTTGAAAGAATTGGTGTCGATAATGGGTATTGACCTCCATTGCAACAATGAGCACCAATCTTATTATTACAATGGGTGTTAGCCTCATTAGAAACAACAACTATCATATTGATGTAGATGGTGGGCATCAACATTTGTTTCGATGATTAGTGTTAGTCTTATTGGTGATAATGGACACTAATGTCAACCTTATTAGTAACAATGTACATTAAAGTTAATATCAATGGCACATGTCAGCCTTGTTGACTACATTATGCATTGAAATTAATATTGACAGTGAACAATAGTGTTGATGTTAGTAGTGGGCATTAATGTAGATATTAATGGCAATCAATAATATTTTTTGTGTTGGTGTTGGTGATGATAATGGGTATCGATGTTACCAGCGATGGTGAGTGATGAATTTGTTGATGTTGATGTGTGTTAGCATTGGTGTTGACAGTGGTAATGAGCATATTAGCAATTATTGTAATAGCCTAAACATGTGAAATAAATTTATTTGAAAATTATGAAAATTATGAAGTAGAGCACTGTTGGTAATGATTGATGATAACCTAATTGGCACCCATGGGAATTATAGGCATTGATGTTGGTGTCATTAGTAGGGGACAACCATATTAGTGTTACAAGGGTTAATGTCAATAGTGTTCATCAACCTACTTTGTAATAACTAAATATTGTTGGCAAAGAAAACAAAAATAGTCTTATTGCTTTCAATGAGTGTTAGCATTATTAAATATGGTGAGCTTCAAGGTTGATGTATGGTGCATTCATTGGTCTTTGTTGTGATCTCATACATCAATGTTTTTTTTTTTTAATGAATAATAATAATAATAATAAATACATCAATGTTATTAGCAAAGGTATATGTCAATCTTATTGGTGTCAACAAGTACTAACATTGTTGGTGTTGACATATCTCAAAGTTAATTTGGATAGTATATGTTGGCTTTATTAAGTTTGGTGGGGGCAATGATCATGTTGGCATTATTCTAGAAAATGGGCGAAGGCCTTATGGGTATCGATAAGAATCATTATTGTCTTCATCGACATATATTAATATAATTAGTACTAGCAAGTGTTGGTAATATTGATGCTATTAATGACAATGTTAGGCGATGACTTTGTTGGTATTGACAATAGTAGACAACAACCTTATTGGCATCAATAAGTGTTAATGTTGCTGGTGATAATAAATATCAATCTTATTGGTGACAATATATGTCAATCTTAGTAGTGATGTCAAGCAACGACTTTAACATCGACGATGTGTCTTGGCCTAAATGGTGATTGTATGCATCATGATTGTTGGCGACAAAATGTAGAGATCTTATTTATCTTAGCATACATTGATTCTAGGGGGACAACTTTTCTGATTTTTTTTAAACTTTTTGAAAATGTTTTGGGGCTTTATAAATTATAAAAAATCACTATCAACAACTGTCTTCCCCATCAATGACATCCTTTCACAGTGAATACAAGTATCTCATTGCTTCAATGTAGTAGAATAGCAGGAAAAAGGGATTTTAGGTGGTATATTAGTAAATATAAAAGTTTAGGTGTTAAATATATATTTTTAATAGCTTTAGTTGTTAAGCATATAAAAATTCTTATATTAATTTTATTAACTTTTAATAATATTATTATTTATTACGTCATCCAGTTCGACCGGTAAAATCGTGAACTCTCCTTCCGGTTCGATGTCCGGTCCGGTTTTCACAACCCTGCTTAGGAGAGAAGCTTTTCCTTCAACACTATAGAAAATTTCATCAGGTAAGGGGGAATTACTGGTGACTTGGACGCAAACTCTCGCAAACGTCAAACGAGTTTTAGCAATAGTAAGGGCATCGACAACAATAGGAATACCAACACATCTAGCAAGTTTAGAAGTACCTTCCGACGTCCGAAGAGATAGAGGGATATTCATGATTTTGATCCAAAGAGTAATGGAGGGAAACTCTTCACGCTTTGGAACGAAACCAGGAGTCCATTTTTGCAATATAAATGGCTTACCAAAAAAGAATCATGGGCCGCCGGTCCAAGCGTGCTCATAATCTTCAAGAACAGAAAATTCCTAAATATCTTATTGTCTGATTTTTGAATTTGTATCTTATTTGGCAACCTTTCTAAAAATGCATCATAGAAAATTAAAAACTTCTACAGGGAGCAGAGCCCATTTAAAATTTTAAATCATATTTCTGCCGTTGAGAAAGGGCTTTCTTCTTCGCCCAAAGCCGAGTTCTGCTTTCACTGGCCACTGCAATTCCTTCGAAATCTTCCAGCAAGTTTACGGATCGTCTCTAAGAAATCTATTTTGGGTTCCGACTCTTTGGGTTTTGTGAACGATTGACGGTGTTACCTTACGCTAAACTCTTTTCAGCTGCCATCACCTTGCGTCTCGATCTCACTGAAACCTTCATAATTCTTATTTCTTTTTGTCTTACAGAATTAATTGTTATTATTTCTTTTGATTAACCTTTTTAGTTGGCTTACAAAGCATTTTGTAGCATGAAATTTGATTTAGATTTTAGAGAATGAAAATTTCTTTTCACAGGATTAACATGATCATTAAATGTCACCGATTCAGAAGCTGATCCGAGAGACCAGAATCCTACAAGTAAACTGAGTTTCCAAGCGCAGCAGCAATAATATTTCTTTTTTTTTTATTCAATCAAGCAGGTTTTAATTTAGATAAAAATCTTCCTCAATACCCTCTTAGCAGATTAATGAGGAATATACCTCTTATTCTTCAAAGGGCTTTTCAAAGAAAATTGCTGGGAATATCTCTTCAGTGGTGCCCAAGGCTTGCTATTGAATTCTAGTATCCTAGTTCGATTCTGCAAAAGAAGGCGATCAAGAATCTCCCTGTAGGCCCTTTTTCCTTTTCCTGACGATGATATCCCGGAATTGTTCTCTTTTTCCTTTCTTGGAGCCGCCATTAACTGATAATGGGTGATGTCAAGGTTCATTGAGGATCTATTAGGAATAAATCTATGGCGACCACCTTGCCGTGAAGAGGAAAACTTGGAAGAGAAACGGCCTAAAAAGTGATATTTTGCTCTGGCATCCATGATAAAAAGATTAGTCAAAAGAAAGGAAAATTAATTCGGTAAGACAAAATGAAATCAGATTTATGAACGTTTCAGTAAGATCGAGATGCAAGTTGATGGCCGCTGAATAGGCTTGTGGTAAGGTAACTCCATCAACCGTTAACAAAACCGGAAGAGTCAGAAGCCAAAATAGATTTCTCAGAGATGAACTGTAAGCATGGTGGAAGATTTCGACAGATGAAAGCAGAGCTTGGGTTTACTTTTAGTTCTTTGAGTTCAAGCGTACATACAATACCAACAGGTACTATATGTTCAAAAAGGAGTTGAAGTAACTCATCAGCATCAAAATACATCTTAAACGATAAAATTTTGTGTAGACAAAGCTTATATGTCTTGCATTCTCTTGCTCTGGAGAAGAGAATTGTGAAAGAAGACTTCAGATGTTCCAACAACTAAAGAAAGGATTGTAGTAATCACTTCAAATTGATTGATGAAGTTGATGATGCAGCATTTGACATTACATTGCAAATGATATGATTAGAAGGAATCATTAGTCTATAAAAAATACAGATTAAAATTGTTATAGCAATCTATATTGTAATTATAGTTATGATCTTTCTTCTGTTTAAGGGATTTTTCTATTTTTTGAAGTATCAGTTGAAGATCTTTTTGCTGTAATTTGAAAAATAAATGTTTGTAATCACTTATTATTATTGTAGTTCTTAATGTTTCGTTGTAGATAATCTTCTAATTCCTGTTGAAATGTTAACTTTTGTTGATATTATAAAATAATTGTATAATACACACACACGGCTCTTACTGCCTGCTGTGGTCCAATGACATGCGACGATGAAGAGGAAGGCTTCATTTGGGATGATTTTCTTTCTGCTTCATAGAGTAATTTTTTAGTACAAAAATTAAAATTTTTGTACTCGAAAGCTACTTTAAGAAACAGTAAAAAAGCCGTCCCAAATGAAGCCTAAGCCGCACATGAACATTCTCAGAGAATACATCAACTGACTCAACAATGTGTGTGACTAGATCTAGTGATTCTACTGTGAAATCCATTAACAAAATATTAGATGATGTAAATAATAAAATTTAAATGTTAAATATAAAAATCCTAATATTTTAGGGGCTATATATATACAAATTTCCATTTTTATTTTTTTTTAATGTTGACAGCCTGATAATGAATTGCTTTTGGAATTGTATAAAATAATGCAGCCAAACATTCCAAAATGAGTAATGATGTTAGAAATTAGGCCTCTATGGTTGTTCAGAGTGGCTTTAGTTTAAAGGAACAACTCCAGTTTTGGGCAAAGGACCGAATTCCTTGATACCATTCCTACTTAGATATGCCGACAATTGTTTCATGAACTTTTGTTGTCATTGGCCATGTTTGCAACTTTTTGCTTAATTTGGTTGTTTGGTAAGAAGGTAACTACTAATTTGAAAAGAGTTTGCATAAATTTATTACTTATTATATTCATTAGTTGTTGAAGTAGGATAAAGAGATTCCATAAATTCTAATAAGCTTAACTTCCTCTTATGAGCTTCTTACTTACGACTTTCTCTCTCCAGCTCTGCAAAAGGAAGCTCATAACTTCAACAACTATTGAACTAAAAGATGTCACACATAATAGTTATGAATCTGTACATACAGAGATACAAGAAAAAAAAGATAATGCAAGTGAGGCATCCATTAATACTTTCTTATTACTTTTGCCCTCCCTAATAAATCTCAGCATCTATTTTGTTATTCTATTGAAAGAGCTACAGAAGAAGCAGAGCATCCTGCATCTATATTGAGAGTTGTATGTTAGTTCAGCGTGGAATTTGATTGTGTCGATTAATCGAGTCGTATTGCTGCCTCGAACCACAATTCCATTGATTGAGCTCGCCGGGGGTTGCTGGGGGTCCTCCCTCTGCCTGGGTTAGGGTGTGTTGCACCCCAAAATTTTTTTGCCTTACGATCATACAGCATTACGACACTGCAGAGAGTGAGAGAGTAGAGAGATTTATACAAATTTCTCTCGATTTTCAAAGTGAATTTCTTGATGTGAAGTGGCTCTGTGGTTTTCTCATGGATTCAGATTTTTTCATGTTAAATCTTGGTGTTCTTTCTTTCTGTTGCATTTTTTCTTTCTTTTTTTTTGTGTGTTTGTTGTGCGGTTAGACTTTCCCAACAACTAATATTAGAGTTACACTCTTTATTTCGAGTCAGAGTAATGGCTGAAAAAGTAAGATAAGTGGTTGAGAAGTTGTGGGCTCTGAAAATTTGCACCCCTGCTTCTCTGCGGACCCCTCTATTTCTTTCCTTTTTTTGGTTCTCGAGTAATGCTTTAGTTATGGGGCAAATTTTCAGAATACAGATTAGATTTTTAGATAAGTCACTACCCAGAGATATTACCCTCATTTTGCGAGGACTTTATAATCTGAGTTCAGGTTTCTTAAAGGTGTAAGCCCCTATATTTAATTACCCCTCCCGATAATGGGAGAGAACTTTCGATTAAGACTAATAATCAAATAGATACAGAGTATATGACGTATAGTAGTAGCATAAGTTTTGTATTTTGAGACTTGATATTTAAAATTTGAAAATTTATCCATCTTGCTCTTAAAGCAGATGGTGGGGGGAATGATAATGAGCCTGATCAAGATCCCATGGTTCCATCAACTCGAGACATCATGGTCTCCGGTCTACTTAGTCAAAAGAGATAGTCGACCCAACCTAAAAGAAGGATCTTTGTCAACAACCATGCAGTAGAGTCGTTGGACAAAGCATTAGGTTAGAGGGTTGCAGTCATAATCGTTAACCACGTGGAGCCATCTAGCCAAACCATGAGTTCTTTGTTAAGCAATTCATCCAAACCGTTGATTAGAGGACCAAGGTCACGCCCTTACTGGCAGGAAACTATTTTAGAATAAATCTTAGTGATATTCTTGAGCAGACATTAACTTTTTGTGAGCTGAAGTGAAATTTAAATTTGCTCACCTTGGCAAATTATTATAGAGTAGATGGGTTTTACTTTAAGCATTTTGATAGTTAATTTCATTTTTAAATATTTTAAAATTTAAGATTTTTTTTAACTTTGAATTTTTATGAACTTTTAGGTGGCATTTTAAGTGTTTGTGAATCCTTCTAGTTGAGATTTTCTATCAACATGACAATCATCAGGGTGACTTTGAGGTCATTTGAAAATATTTATATTTTATGGAAGTTTGAGGGAATTTAAAAATATATGATCCCCTTCGGTTGACATAAACATTCAATACAACCATCATCAGGGTATTCATAAGTAATTTTTATTTTATCAGCTAAACATTATCAGGTCCATCTATTTGCAAATAGAGGATCGAGATCTTCATATCTTTATGCCTTTATTGGTGAATTATATTTATCGAGACCTTGAATGCCTAATATGAACGTATAAAACAAATATCTTAGTTGATATCATGATTGTATGTTTGTTCGATAGTCTAAAAACTTTGTCGACTCCTATTGTACCCAGTTTTTCATAGTTTTCCCCTAAACGGGGGAGACGCCGGGAGGCAGCCAAAATTTCGAATGAAATCGCATCTGGACCTAATTAAACTCAAAGAACAATGGTGGACTCGAACTTGTGAACTTTGATGCAATAAATTCAATTCTGAATGAATCCAAAGTTAAATAAATCATAAGAATTAGAATTGAAGAAAGACTCAGAATTTGAATCAAGTGAACATAATTTGAACTCCAAAGCAAGGACTTGGGCAAGTGAACTTGTAGACTCGATTTGGACTCGAGCAAAACTCAACTTGAACCTGAATATGGTATGAACTACATAGAGCTTGCAATTTGAACAGCAGGAGACTCGAAAGGATGGAAGAGGCTCACCAAGGAACAATTATTATGTCCTCTGACCGGACGTAGAGCTACGTTCGGCCGCCAATAACATGTTGCCACGTGCTCTTACTCTTTACCGCGCGGCCCGACAACTTGACCCGGAGCGGAACCTCGGAATGCTATGTTCGCGATTTTCTCGGTATTGCTCGGTATTGCTTTGCAAAAATGAGAAATACCGCTCTGTGAAGACCAATACCATGCAAATATCGAGTTGTACCGAGTTTTTTTACAACTCGGTACAACTCAGTATTTGCTCAGGATTTGCTCGGTATTGCTAGGTATTTGCTCGGTATTGCTAGAAAAAACTCGGTACAACTCAGTATTTGCTCAAGATTTGCTCGGTATTGCTAGGGATTTGCTCGGTATTGCTAGAAAAAACTAGGTAAAACTCGGTATTTGCTCGGTATTGCTAAGTATTTGAAATATATCCAAAAGGTGATGGGATGTTGTTCGGCTCTTCAAGGATTTAAAAAACGCACGTACGAGAACCCGAAAAACAGCGGGTCGGGTCGGCGACTTTTCTTCATGCTACGTGGCGCTAAAACATTGGTGGCCGAACGTAGAGGAGCGTACGTTCACCGGACCAAATAAAAGTTCCTCACCAAGAGCCTGAACTATACTTGAACTCAAGCATGAACAAAGGACATAACATTAACATTAACTTGGACTTAAAGTCAAAAGAGCAAATACATAGAACTTTGAACTTGAACTTGAACTTCAAATGAAATTGAACTGGACTCAAGCAAGAACTTGAATGAATCTGCAAAGACTCTAGAAGATAGTGAACTTTGACATTGAACTAAAATTTGTGGATATAGAACTTGAGCTCGGACTTGAACAAACTGCAAAGGACACAAACTTGATTTAAGCATCCAATGAACTTGAACTTGCATTTGATTTAAAAATCAAATGATAAGAACAAAGAAACAAATGAACCAAGTGTTATGGGCATAAGCTCAAGATGGACTCATGCTTGAACTTTACAAGCTTTGGACTTGAAAAAAATAAAAATGAATTGAACTCAATGGACTTGGGGCCTTGAGTTAGTCAAATTCAACATATGTGATTTGGCAAGTCACAATGTTTGATCAATCATACGCAAATGATAATATCTCCTATATGCATATGTAAAGAGAGTGGTGGTGCAAAGAAGAAATGTTTGAAGATTGCTCTCCTACAACCAACACAAGTTGACATACAAACTCTCAATGACACCAAAAAGTCATATATAAGAAACATAGTGTCCCACAAATAATCAAAGGACTACACTTGTTTATAGATGCATACAACAGTCTCCTATGGATATGGAGCTAGCTTACAAATAAATACAGTAGTAAATGGCCAACAAATTATAAAAGAAGACTTGTCATACGTATGGTGTGCTATCTATGGATAAATATAAAAGAGCTATAATGGACTATTCTGTGATATAGACACAGTAACATATTTGCAAATCAAAGTTGATGATAACACATTAGGTGCAAATGATTATAAGTTGATACCAAAGATCCATTCAACATTCCATATGTCAGAATCAGTAATGTAGTGAAAAAGGCAAGTTATTGATTCAAGACACCGGTCATTGATTTCGAAGTGTAAGGAATTGGTAAGGATATAATCATCCAAGGTAGAAGTGGTGGGTTCTTCAAGCTAATAACAGAAAACAAGAAAGATGAAATAATTGATAAAGCACATATTGATTTCTATACGAGTTTTGGAAAGAGAAAGCCAGATCAAAACAAGATTGAGTGAATCTCAATTCAACTAAGTTATGAACATTGAGTTGGATAAGATTATAGAGGCTTGCAAATTTCTTGATGAACAGTAGTCATGCATCCAACATATTGTCTGTGTGCAAATATTGAAGTATTACAATAAGTGTAAGCTCCTACGACAAGAAGCAGGAGATTCGTTAGTGCACCACAATCCACCTGCAGAAAGCAACAAGTAGTGCACGACAGTCTATCTATACGAAGCAGCGAACAACTCTATTCAGAAGCTGCTACGCCGCGCCACCGGATCCGCAACTTCTATGCAAGCAGACAGAAGGCATCCAACTGTAGTTTGTATACACATAGGTATACTAAAAGGGGTAAAAGCAATTACAAAACCCGTAAGGGCCTCAACGAGCGTGTTATTGGTACACACGTGATGTCTAGGAATGCTGTGCGGGCTATTAAATTTAAACTCAATCCTCCTAGGCAGGTAAAAAGGAGTAAACAGTGTTTAATTACAAAATGTCCCCAAACACCTGCATGGACCCCAGCAAGCGTGTTATTGGTACACACGTGACGTCTAGGGATACTGCGCGGGTCAATAAGTGAATTCAAGTTCGAACCCGATCCTTCTATACAGATCAATAGGAGTCGACAAGGTTCGAACCAATAAATAAATGTGGTCGTGACGACCAAAATATTTGTTTTAATACATTCATATTAGGCCTTCAAAGCCTAAAATCAGAAGAATTCACTCTCAAATGCAAAAAACCTACGAAACTCGATCATCTATCGATAGCTAGACAGAGTCGACAAGGTTCAAGCTTTAAATGGAAATAACCCCTAACACCCCGATGATGGCCGTGTTGAATATCAATATCAACCGGAAGGGTTAATTTTGGGCATTTTTCAAATGTCTCCCAAAAGTCCATTCAAAATCCAAATTTCATTCAAATAACCACAAAAAAACCCAAAAATCCAACAACAACAACAACAACATCAAGCCTTTATCCCACTACGTGGGGTCGGCTACATGAATCCTTTTTCTCCATTGTGTTCTATTAAAAGTCAAATTCTCGTTTAAATCTAATAAAGAAAGGTAATTCCTAATATTTTCTAACCAAGTCTTTTTAGGTCTACCCCTACCTTTCTTAACAGAAGTCAAATCTAATAACTCTACTCTCCTAACCAGGTCATCGGAAGGCCGCCGTTTTATGTGACCAAACCATCTAAGGCGACTCTCTCTAATCTTATCTTCTACTGAAGCTACTCCAACCTTTTCACATATATGCTCATTTCGTATCCTATCTCTAAGGGTAAAGCCACTCATCCACCTGAGCATCCTCATCTCTGCCACACTTAACTTAGTATTATGCTTCTCTTTTAATGG